CCCTCCCGCCACGCCCTCCCCCGCCCCGCCCGCGAGCGCTATTGTTCCGGCCTCGGGCGCCGCCGAGGGCAAGAGGGCCCTGGAACTCGCCTGAGTTGGGCAGTCGCCCGGATCCCCGCCCAGCCCTCCGCCCCTAATGTGACTTGCCGTTCCAAGTGGGCCTTTCCTGTCCCGCCTTTTGTCACCAAGAGCGAGAGGAAAGAGAAAAGCCCCTAGGCCACACCTGTCCAGAAACGGGACGTTCCCCGCCCTAAATATTGGGGGCAGTGTCAGTTCCCCACCCGGCAAGCCGGGCCTTAGGAAGTGGTCGTAGCAACACTCAACTGGAGATGGATTCTGTCTTACCTGTGGAACTGGGCCCCTTGACTCACACGGATCTTGGAATAGTCTCCCCGTCCGCCCCCAACACACACACACACACACACACACACACACACACACACACACACACACACCCCTCAAGCTGATCTGAGTTACTCAGAAAGAGACAGGGGACCAAAGTGCATAAATGTTAATTTTATATATGGGAGAAATCGAGGCAGGGACTTGCAGCATCAGTAACCGAGAGCATCCAGAATTGAAAGCACTTGGATAGAGACACTGGAAAGTCCCCACCCCCTTTAGTGTAAGGACCGGAAGGCTCAAAAGCCGAGTACAGTTGGCCATCATCCAAGGCCTTCTGGACACCAGAGAAGCAGTGTGTATCTGCCTCCCTTGCTCTCTGTCAAAGCACCAACATTCCTCAGACACTTGCTGGCTGCAGGAACTGTCAGGGTGTTCTCATTTACTTCCATTCGCCCCACCCCACCCCCATCCAGTTCCTGGGTCTGTCTGGGAAGGACAACTGGAGAAAACAGTTTGAGCCTGTTGCCCACACGGAGGACAGCTTGAACTATCAGCTCTCAACCGTGGCTTGGACTTGGCTGGTCCTGGCCAGGAGCAAGAACCTCTGTAACCATGGAATCCAGACATGGCGAGATGAGTGTGGGAACTGGTCTTTCAGTGAAGGTGCGAGAACAGAGGAAATCACAGCCCAGAAAGGAAAGCGCTTCTAAACAAACTTCAGTCATTGTTTCTGGAAATACCAGGCTCAGTCTTATCAAAAAGCAATTTCCCACAGGCCTCTTTCCCTCTTTTTTTTCTTTCCTCCCCCAGATCTGGATACCCAACTAGCCTGGCAATATTCACTGAAACACACACACACACACACACACACACACACACACACTCCACTTCTCTGCGTTACTTTGTTATAAATCAAGTGTTTCACATGCACATGTATTGCTCCTGTGGTCTCTGTTCTGCTTACTTTTCTCCCCTTGCACCATTAGCTCACTGGATTATTCCAACTTTGTAACACATCTTAATATCCCACAGAATAAGCCCACCCACTCTTTATGTTCTTTAAGACTTCCTTGGCTATCGACCTTTGGAATTTAATACAAAATCAGCTGGGATTTTCATTGTTCCCACATTAAATCTTTATGTCAATTTGGATGAGGTGGGCATTTTCTATGTGAATTATTTTTATCCATGAACATGGTATATCCTCTTATTGAAGGTTTCTTTACAAGTTCTCTCAGCAATGTCTTGTATGTAAAAACTTGGCACATCTTTTATTAGATTTACAACCGGGTTTTTGTTATTGTTGTTGTTTTATGCTATTATTGATTATTTATTTTGTTTGTTGCTAATAGGATGGTCAAGGCTTTCTAACAACTCCATAAATCCTTTGACACTTCTCCCAAGGAGGAGGAGAAGTCTAATACCCTCCCTCTTGAAAAAGCCTGGTCTTATTGAATAGTTCTTAGTAAAGAGAGTGCCTTCTGAGGTTAGTGCATAAAAGCTGATCCAGCCCCACCAGTGTGGCTTCTTAGGGGGCTTCAGTGCCTGGAGCTGTAAGCCATTGAGTAAGAAGTCTGGAACCACAAGAGAAGTCATGGTTGAGTTTTCCTCTAATCCAAAATGTCAGCTACTTGGGACAAAGAGACACGTGGGATCTTCGTGAGTTCAAGGCCAGCCTCATCTACATGGTGAGTTCTAGGCCCACCAAGACTACATTGGAAGACCTTGTCTCAAAAATAAATAAATAAAATGTTCAGTTGCCATGACAGGTAATAAATGCCTGTTATAGTTTTAAGCTACAAAGCTTTGAGGTTGTTTCTCAACCATACAGACCTGGAATATACTAGAAATAAAGTTTTACACAATGTCCTTATACCCAACATTGCCAAACTCATTTATTTTCTAATCATTCGTTCACAGATTCTTTGGCTTTTAAAAACCATAGAGCTACTTCCTGTCCCATCTGTAAAAATGAAAGTTTGCTCTTAACTTTCAACCCCCGTACATTTTGTTGCTTTTTCTTGCCTTGTCTCACTGGCCAGTATCAGTAACAGAACATTTGAGGGGAGCCGCCAGCAGCCAGCCTCGCCTCCCTTCTGAGCACAGAAGGAATGTCAATACTCATTATGAACTGTGTGCCTGCTGGGCTTGTGTCTTCTCATTTTTCTTTGCTTTGTGTTTTATGGATACCTCTAGAGTGAGTGTGTGTGTGTGTGTGTGTGTGTGTGTGTGTGTGTGTGTCAGACAGACAGACAGACAGACACAGAGAGGGGAGAGAGAGAGAGAGAGAGAGAGAGAGAGAGAGAGAGAGAGAGAGAGAGAGAATCTTGACAAAGCCCTTTGAGTTCAGGAGTGAAAAGCACTATGTGAGGTCCTCACAGAATGCGTAACATCCCAGTGCGGCTCATAGAGTCCAAGTCCCTCCTGTCGCATTTCCCACTGCCCACACTTCTGCAGTCTTGGTCTCACCAACTCCAGACAAAGCTGTCAACAAAGCCCACCACGGTTTGCAGACTCATGTGAACAAAACTGCCACGGGGTTCTCTGGAACCTGCCAGCAGCCGCCGCCACCACTGTCAGCCCTTCCCCGAGAAGAAGGACACCAGGAGCACACATAGAAGTCTGTTGTGAAGGCCACCAGGGAAGACATACATATCCCAGAGCTTGGCTTTATCTTGTTCTGTTGCCTCATCAGATAGGACACTCCCCTGAAGGAACACCACAGCCATGTCTGTTGGCTTCAGGACAGAAGTGGGCCTTGAGTCCTCCTCTCTTCCTCAGTGGGAAGCTGAGAGAGAACAGGCCTGCTGGTTCAGAGCAGAGCCGCTTGCCTCTTCCTTGTCTGCAACAGCTCCGGGCTGGGGGAGCCTGCTTATGAATCTTCCAGCCTTTGGCTTCTTTTGCCATAAGCAGCTAACAGTCAACAAGCAGATGTGCTTGAGTATGTTTTTATTATGATTTAGACATGGTCATGACAATAGGAGGGGACTGTTATTAAAAAAAAAAGGAGAGCCTAAAATAGTTCCTGAGAGGAGGGGGCACACTGTGTTGGGGGGTACATGGCGGACCTTCAGGGAAGCAGGAGCGTCAGTTGGCAGAAGAGAGTAGAACTTTACATAAGGACTTCTACCAGAGTTTCCACAGGTTGGCTGGTTTGAGTACTGTCAGTGGATCTGGGAATAGGGACGGTTCCTAGTTGGCTGGTACCTGGCCCCTGGGTAACTTGAGCAGGTAAGTAATGACCCAGAGTACAGGTATCCAATAAAAGGGAAGGTTGGAAGCAAAGACTCTGGATTGTCAGTTTTCTTTTGAAAAGTATGCTCACGGGCAAATCCCATTCTGTTGGGGGTAGGGATTAGCTAATCCTAGAAAGGGACTGTCCCTCCAGGGTTTGCTAGAACCCAGCTGTCAAAGCATCAGATTACAGAAAACAACAGACATGGCTAATACCCATGGGATCCCCAATGAGTCCTACTCCACCCGTGGCTCCTTCACCCAGGGAATGTTAGGACTTTCCTTCAGAATGGCCGACATCTGAAACCGCAACAGTGGCAGGGGAACTAAGTCACTCAGTGTGGAAGGCTTAAGGTACGCTGCAGTCTTCCTCCCTTCAGGCACGTGGTAGGATTGCACCTTCCTTCCCTTTTGAATTTGAGTATGACCACGTGACTCACTATGACACCTAAGGGGACATAAACCAAGTGATATGTGTCAC